TTCGGCTCATACTTTCTCAACATTGATACGTGGAAGACATTATGCACTTGCGACAAATTTGGCGGTAACGCAAGGCGATAAGCTAAGTCTCCAATCCTTTCTAAAACCTCAAAGGGTCCCATGTACCTCGGACTCAACTTCCCTTTCTTACCAAATCGGGATAATCCTCACATGGGCGATACCTTAAGGAATACGTGATCCCCTACTTCAAATTCCAAAAGTCTTCGCCTTCTGTCTACATAACTCTTTTGACGACTTTGAGCTGTTTTCAGCCTTTCACGAATTATCTTAACGGCCTCAATTGACTGTTGAACTAATTCTGGCCCGATTATACTCCTTTCTCCAACTTCGTCCCAACATACGGGCGTTCTACATGCTTTGCCATGCAGCGCTTCAAATGGCGCCATTCCAATGCTTTGCTGGAAACTATTATTGTACGCGAATTCTGCTAAGGGCAATTGCCCTTCCCCTGAAAATCCAATATACATGCCCGAAGCATATCCTCTAAAGTCTGAATTGTCCTCTCAGACTGACCATCCGTTTGTGGATGGTAAGCTATACTAAACTGCAGCTTTGATCCTAATGTCGTCTGCAGACTTTTCCAAAAATTAGCGGTAAACCTAGGATCACGGTCTGAGGTAATCGTCACTGGTATCCCATGCAAACGAACTATCTATTGTACGTATAACTCAGCATACCGATCCAATGCGAAGTCCTTTCGCACGGCCAAGAAGTGCGCTGACTTCGTTAATCTATCGACAATCACCCAAATGGAATCATGGCCTCTTTGGCTCCTTGGTAATCCCATTACAAAATCCATGGTAATATGTTCCCATTTCCATTCTGGGATTTCCAAAGGTCGCAACAATCCTCCAGGCTTATAATGTTGCACTTTCACTTGCTGGCACGTCAAACACTTAGCCACGTGCTTAGCTATATCTACCTTCATACCATTCCACCAATAGTACTGTCTTAAATTATGATACATTTTCGTACTACCGGGATGGATGCTATAATTACTACGATGCGCTTCTGACAAAATTGGAGCACGCACAACCGTCCACGGAACTTCAATATCCCGTCTTCGGATATTCGAAAGTCTGGTTTCCTCTTAGTAGCATCCATTTCCAGAATCTTTTGAATTTCTTGATCCGTAGACTGTAAAGCCTTAATCTTAGTCTGGATTTCTAGTTCTATTCTTAAAGTGGCAAACAAGCTCGAGACTTGACTTACGTCGAACTTAAACTCCGAGTCTCGCACTCTTTCCAACAAGGTCCATTCCTTGACCATCAAGTGTGCGATGCTTGACTTCCAACTCAATGCATCGGCTACCCAGTTGGCCTTTCCGGGGTGATATAAAATATCACAATCATAATCCTTAAGTAATTCTATCAAACGACGCTGCCTCATATTTAACTCCTTTTGAGAAAACAAATATTTCAAATTCTGATGGTCCGTATATATTTGGAATTTCTCTCCACATAAGTAATGTCGCCAAATCTTAAGGGCGAAAATGATCGCAGCTAATTCCAAATCATGCGTCAGATAATTCAGTTCATGCGGCCTCAACTGCCTTGATGCATAGGCTACTACTCGCCCATGTTGCATCAGCACACATCCTAACCCTTTTAACGACGCATCACTAGAGATTTCGAAACCTTTAGATCCTGACGGAATAGTCAATACCGGTGCCGTCGTTAATCTATGCTTTAATTCCTGAAAACTCCTTTCACACTTATCAGTCCACTCAAACTTTGTTTCTTTCTTTAACAACGTGTCAACGGCATTGCTATAGCTGAAAATCCTTCCACAAAACGTCTATAGTATCCTGTCAAACCCATGAAGCTTCGAACCTCGGTTATCGTCATCGGTCTCGGCCACTTTATCACGGCTTCAATCTTTGCAGGATCTACTGAAATTCCATCCCCCGAGATCACATGTCCAAGAAATGCTACTCGACTGAGCCAGAACTCGCACTTACTAAACTTAGCATACAGTGCGTGTTCCCTTAAGGTCTGTAAAACTTTACTCAAATGGAACTCGTGCTCTTCCGAGCTCTTCGAGTACACCAATATATTGTCTATGAAAACTATCACAAATTGATCCAAGAATTCCTTAAACACTCGATTCATTAAGTCTATAAAGGCAGCAGGGCGTTGGTCAACCCGAACGGCATCACCGTAAATTCATAGTGTCTATATCTCGTCCTGAATGCCGTTTTCGGTATGTCCTTCTTCCTAATCCTCAACTGATGATATCTCGTTCTCAAATCAATTTTAGAAAACACCGAAGCCCCTTGTAACTGATCAAACAAATCATCAATCCTTGGCAGGGGGTATTTATTCTTAATTGTCACTTGATTTAACTGTCGATAATCGATCATAACCTTAATGACCCATCCTTCTTCCTCACAAATAAGATTGGGGCTCTCCATGGAGACGCACTTGGACGAATGAAACCTTTGTCCAATAACTCTTGCATTTGCACCTTTAACTCTTTTAATTCTGACAACGACATTCTATAAGGTGCCTTCGAGATTGGCTCAGTCCTAGGGGCCAACTCGATTACAAACTCTACTTCTCTTTCAGGTGGTAATCCCGGTAATTCTTGAGGAAAGACATCGGGATAATCACACACCACAGCTATGTCCTCTAGCCTTGGCTCCTCGGCCGTTGAATCAATCACAGCCGCTAGAAATCCTTGACACCCTTTGTTCAACAACTTAGACATTTCTAGCGATGAAATCCAAGGGATCAAGGTTCCTCCTCGATTTCCCACAAATTCGAATTTCGGATGTCCAACCGGATTAAATTGGATCACCTTATTACTACAATCCATAACAGCCCTCTGCTTAACTAACCAATCCATGCCCACTATCACGTCAAAGTCATACATCGCTAAAACCGCTAGATCTATCATTTCCTCTCTATCACCAATCACGATCTTATAATCCGGGCATCCTAACGAGACTAGCACCTTATCATTCAATGGGGTGGTAACACATAACACAACATCAAGCAATTGCGGTTCTATGCCAGCCCATTTAACAAACTACTCTGATGTAAATGAATGTGACGCCCTAGGGTCAAACAAAGCATACGCAGCATGATCGCATAGAGAAACCGTACCTGTGACTACCCCTGGCGCGTTCTCAATCTCTCTTCTAGCCATGGCGTACACCCGTCCTTGAGCCGGTGGTCTATTTTGGTTAGCCGACGGGGCAGCTCCAATTTGGTTCCTGTTCCGGGGTGGCAGCAATGCAGGCGATCTATTCTGCCTGATGTTGGGGCAAGTCCTTATGTGATGACCAAACTCGCCACATCCGAAACATGCTCCGCCCCTGTTTGGGCAAGGTCCATTTCCATGTCTTTCCCCACACACCCGACATGGACCATTCTAAAAACGATTTGGTTTCCCGATATTCCTCCTAGCGGGAGGGGTAAAACGTCGATTACTCGCCATTGGTCTCTTCCCAAAGTGGCGATTGTCCCTACCTGGGGCAAATCTTGACCTAGAAGCAGCAGCCCTATCCACTAGGTCACGTTCGATCGCTTAGGCCCGATCATAAATCTCGTTATAATCCCTCAAATTCAACGAAATCATTTGGCTGCAAAGGTCCGGCTTCAAACCATCTCAGAACCTCCGTAACCTATCCAGCGGGTCCTCCACCATCTTTGGGGCAAACTTAGATAATCAAGCAAATTCAGCCTCATACTGATCTACTGTCCTCTGTCCCTGACGAAGCCTCATAAACTCGGCTAACTTCTTTTCCCGAGCACTCTCAGAAAAGTATTTACCATTAAAGACTTCCACAAACATCGCCCAAGTCTGGGCGGCACCAGCTGGGAACACTCGACCCCTGGTGGCTTTCCACCAGTCACTGGCATTTCCTTGCAATTGATACACTGCTAGAGTCACTTTCTCCTCATCTGTACATCCCAACACCTCAAAAGCCTTTTCTAACTCTTCTACCCACAGAGATGCAATCTCAAGGTCACCCTTACCATCAAACTTAGGGGGCTTTAACTTCAAAAATTGCTCAACTAGCTGATGCATCTGCCTATTCACATTCACTTGCCCCTGCCCTTGATTCCCATTGTTATTATTAGCGGCAGCGGCCTCAGCAGCTTGGGCAATAGTGGCAGCTCGTTCCTGAGTCTGCCGTCCTATCAGATTACCAATCTCTTCCAGGGTCCTCATGACCGCATCCATTCTCGGATCTCCTGCAGGTCGGGCTGGTGAACCGGATGGACCGCCTGTTCCTCTACCTCTCGAACTCATCCTTACGATTTCTATCACTCACCTACCTGCTATAATTCCACTCAGGAATTAGAGACTTAGGCCAACTATACCAGTCTAGTCCTAAGCAGCGAATTAACACAATGATTCACTCAGCAGGTAAGTAATCACAACAGCACAAGGCCACAATCAATAAGGTCTGTGCACTTACCTCAGGTCTAGACGCACCTGCATTCCAATCATTATAACACTCAATTCACTCAGCAATCACAACAAACAGTCTGGAGGCATGCGTAGCTCATTCCACCCTATGACTCGCTAACGTCTCCTTAGATGACTACCCTAGGGTCTCCGCTCCTTAACACTCCAGACTTCGATCAACTTAGATCGATCTGTCCTTGCTCTGATACCAATTCAACGTGTGATGTCACGCCCCAAACCCCATTGAGCTCGCAACATCCATCTTCGGTCGAATGAGTGCGACGTCCCAGGAAACGCTGCCAACCCAAACCAACACATCAGAGATAAAAGCACTAGCGAAAGCCACAAAAACCCAGACAATAATTGACTAGGGGTAACAGGGAGAATATACATCCATTACTGATTCAAATTTATACAATATCCACCATTTACAATCCACATAATATATATGCACAGCGAGCTTCTAATATTTACACCACCGATATCAAAAGAGGTCAGTAACCTAGGCATACCTTAACTCCAAAAATGGGACACTTAAAAAGATTTGCTCAATCCCTAAACTAGCCCCTACGCCCTCTAGATGGCGTCCACTCCGATTCAGTCTCCCCGGAATCCAAATCTGAAACCCCCTGATCAACCTGCTCCTCGGAAGACTCCGTATCCACCTCGATCTCAATCGGGTTGTCTTCATCCCCCGACTCTATCGGAACCTCAATTCGTTCCTCCCCTTCAGACTCCTCTTCTGGCTCTTCCTCTAGCTCATCATCTGGTTCCTCTTCGGGCTCTTCTTCGGGCTCTTCCTCTTTAGGTTTCTCCTCTGGCACTGCACCTAGATCCACATCCATCGGATCATACCTTGCCTGCGACTCTTCCGACTCCGGATTAGGCTCAGCTACTGAAGGTTCGAGTGCTGCAGGTGCGGGCTGATGTCCGGACTGTGCGAGACTAGTATGCAGGCTAGTCATCTCACCATTGGGAGGAGGTATGGCCGACGGATCCCAATCTCCTACTCCGTCAAAGGGAACATCAAAGCCACGGACGGGGCCAAACTCATCCATCCCGTCCCGAAAACACCAGGTGGTATAGGTGTAGGCTTGCTAGAGAGGTTGTCCTATGTCTACCCAGACTACGGTAGTATGCTTAATCCATGCCATATTCTCATCTATCAGATACTCTACAACATTATGGTCGGTCTGCATCGGAATACCAAAACGCTGAGGCGGCGGCGGTGAAAGATTCATGGTTCAGGCCGGGGTTCTGAAATTGTTTGGTTGAAACAACCGTGAGAACACGTCTCAGCAAGTACACACCCTAAACCCCACCTAGGCTAACACGTACCTCCAGACAAGTCCAAACACAATAACACTCAATAAGCACATCAAAGGCACACAATTACACTTACCTGAGCTTTCAAAGTGTACCATCTGCACGTTAGTCTCAATTACACAAATTCCAACCACATGCACGATGTAAATTAATTTCATGCCCGAAACATAAGTCGAACATATGGCATTTCCAATTCCACATTTCACACACTCGTTCATGCCTCACCACACTATTTTCATTCGACTTGCCAGCGACCCGCGTTACAATACACGCCTCAGGTCCACTTTCAATTCACGGTCCACACACGACCATATCATTTTCACAACACTTCTTAGCCCGCGTTACAGTACACGCCTCAGGCTCAACATCCACCACCTATGGCACAACCCGTGTTGAAGTACACGCCTCAGGTTGGCAGTCTTCCGGTAATACCGGGTATCGTCCCGCGTTAAAGTACACGCCTCAAGATGGCTCAATTCCCCGCGTTACAGTACACGCCTCAGGGACTCTCGTGACCACACGCACGACATACCACATAAATTTCTCATTTAATCACTTGCTCGAACCTCATACGAACATGCTCGACTTAGACACCAACATGTCAAATTATCAGCCGATCAAATTCAACCCATGCACGCATCGAATCTCACGCATTTCACATGCTCAATTAACACCCAATCATGGCCAATTGCCAGTCAATTCAATTCAGCCCATGCGCGCATATAACGGTCAACATTTCAATCAATCAATTCACAATCCAACGAGCATACAAGGCCTCCATTGGACCCACAATCACAGCCACTATCATGAGTATAAATTCAACATTTCCATGTCTATTTCAAGCCATAATATGCACCACAACCAGCCACGACACCACGCACATCAAACCGACACATTTAGCCCCCGAATCGGACCATATTGCTCATCATTGCGAGCCACAATTTCCAGCACCCAATTCAGCATTAAATCAGCCCCGAAACCATCACAAATCCATCCACCAAATTAACCCCTAAACAGTCTCTAATTCACCCAAATCGGCCCCTAATTAACCCGATTCAGCCCCTAATTACGTCCGTCGATATCCGATATCCTAAATAGAGTTGAGGATGCCACTTACTTGTAATCCTAGTCTAGCTCGGGCTGAAGGGAGGGGCGGCAAGCCGGCGGCCACTCGACGGGCATACAGAGATGGCGGCGGCTGCATTGCGGCGTACGGCGACGGTGGCGGCTGCACGGTGGCGTACGGCGACGGCGACGGCGACGGCTGCATGGCGACGTACGGCGACGTACGGCGACGGTGGCTGTGGCTGGACTGTCTGCTGGTTCACCTCGGCTGGGGCTGAACCAAATGAGAGCTGTGATGGTGTTCGGTGAGGAGGAAAACAGGGGAGAGAGAGAGTGTGACGGTGAGGCGTGGTGGTGTGAGGCAAGCGGCCACGGCGGCGGCGGTGGCTACGGCGTGCAGCTGATCCGGCTCGGCGGGGAAGTGACGGCGACGGCTGGCCTTGGCGGCTGGCCACCATCACAGCGAGGTGGGGTAGGAAGCTCGGCCGGGAGGGAGAGAGGGAGAGAGATGCCGAGAGAGTGAGAGGGAGAGAGAGAAATTGGAAATAAATATTAAGAGCACCAATAATTGGTGTCTAGCCCTTGCCAAATGACCATGCTACCCCTCTCTCTATCTCCAAACCAACAGACACGATTTGATCTTATCCTAAGATCAACGGTCTAGATTAATCCTTATCAAAAATATCTAGAGGCAAAATTGAAATTTCACAAAATTTCCAAGGACAAAATTGTCCAAAAATTTCTATTTCTAAAGTTGGTGTGAAATGACCAAAATGCCCCTCTCACATTATACTTGGCCTTAACAAAGTCCTAAGGGTAAAACGGTCATTTTCCATTTTTCGCCAGAATTCAAATTTTCTAAAGAATGCGGACAAATCTGAGGCTGACTAAGATAAGAACAACGTCGTCCAATTATCATGTCGTGACCTTCATAATTTCCAATGCCCAAACTTGGTGTCTAATTAATGATTAAATTTAATTAACGTAACTTGAGCGTATCTCGAACTAACGGGTGGCTTTTGGAGAAATTCGCACATTTGACCCGTGACCGATACTGAATCAAGTCATGTTTAAGTTCACTCAGGTCGTGACGACCTCGATTGTCACTTACTCGCGAGGATCGATCGCTAGTTCCGACGAGCACGATCGTTAGGTATAGGTTTGGGGTCATTTGTCAATTCATCTCGTGGTCAAGCGGAATCACCCGCGATCCATTAATATGACAACAGCGAACTGATCCCTAACTATCCTTGGATCGGCCTACATTGGCTCAAAATGTCACCTTGACAATTTTTGTGGTCGAAAGTCAGTTCACGATCGAGTTTCTTTAGTCGCGCGAATTTAAATCCCTAATTAGCCATTCCCTATTGGTTAGTATCCCAGGAGTGATCAGTTCCGGGCGAGATCTAACTACAAGCACGTTCATAAAATCATCCATTTCATAAATCCCAAGTGGGTTAGATATCATAATGTCACAAAGGATACAAGATTAGTTTTGAGGAAGGTAAATGTATTGGTTTAAGTTAAGACAAATGCCAATCATCCACAGGTAAAAGGTATGGTAACATCTACCAGCTAAATATGAATTTTGATGATGTCTAATGCCTAATTCTATAAAGGATGAATGTGACCTCTGGCACAAGAAATTAGGTCACATCGATGCTAAGCAAATTACTAAGATCTCATCAAAAGATCTTGTTTGTGGCCTCCCAAAGATCAACTTCAGCAAATGTGATTCATGCAATGCATGTACTCTAGGAAAGCATATCAGATCGTCTTTTAAGTCAATAAATACAATTGAAACTAACAAATCTTTGCAGCTCCTACACATGGATCTATTTAGACCTACAAGGACTATGAGTCTAGGAGAAAGAAAGTATTATCTAGTGATTATTGATGATTACTCAAGATTCACCTGGGTAATGTTCCTATCTCACAAGAACGAAGTATTCTGTTCATTTGAAAAATTTGCTTGAAAAATCCAAAACAAAAAAGGATACAGCATCACAACAATCCGAACATACCATGGAGGTGAATTTGAAAATCAGATGTTTGCTGATTATTGAAACGAAAATGGAATGGAATACAATTTTTCCACAGCATACACTCCTCAATAGAATGCAGTTGCTGAAAGAAGAAATCACTCTCTGCAAGAAATGGCCAGAACCATGATGATTGAAAGCAATATGCCCACATACATCTGGGCAAAAGCAGTTGCTACTGACTGTTACACCTTGAACGGAGTACTACTAAGACCACTGATGGAAAAGACTCCCTATGAAGTCTTCAAAGGAAGAAAACCTAATATATCATATTTTTATGTTCAGATGCAAATGTTTCATTCTCAAAAACAAGAATGACAACCTTGGGAAATTTGATGCTAGAGCAAGTGAAGGTATTTTTCTGGATTACTCAACTGCTAGTAAAGCTTGTTGTGTATTCAATAAAGATTCACAGGTAGTAGAGGAATCCATAAATGTGAGGTTCAAAGATGACTAGAAAGGGATACAAGCAAATGACTGCAAGAAAATCATGCTCATATATACTCCTACCAATCAGCAACAACAACACCAAAATGCTGATATTTCTAAACAGAAATCAATTTCCAAAGATTGGAGATACATAATAGAGCACTCCAAAGAACAAATCATTGGAAGTATAAATGAAGGAATCAAGACCAAATCCTCACTCAAAAATTTGATGAATTCATTGGCTCTCATATCTCAACAAGAAAAAAAAAGGAATCGAAGAAGCTATTTCTGACGAAAGTCGGATAGAGGCCATGTAAGAAGAATTGCATCAATTCAAAATAAATGAAGTCTGGGAATTAGTACAAAGACCCTCAGATCATCCAATCATCAGAACAAAATGGGTATTCCGAAACAAATTTGATGACAAAGGTAATGTAACTTGTAATAAAGCAAGATTAGTTGCGAAGGATTACTCATAGGAGGAAGGTATTGATTTTGATGAAACCTATGCTCCTGCTGCCAGATTGGAAGCTATATGACTATTATCAGCTTATGCATGCTTTTACAATATTCATCTATATCAAATGGATGTTAAAGGTACTTTCCTTAATGGTTACATTAAAGAAAAAGTTTTTGTTGAGCAACCTCCAAGATTTGAAGACTCAAGCAGACTGCAAGATGTCTACCGCTTGAAAAAGGCCCTGTACGGACTTAAGCAACCACCAAGAGCTTGGTATGAAAGATTGAGTACATTTCTGGAAGAACATGATTTCGAGAAAGGTAAAGTGGATACTACCCTATTTGTTAAAAGGGAGGGTAAAGATTTTCTTATCATACAAATATATGTTGATGATATAATTTTTGGATCTGCTAATGAAATTTGTGCAAGAAATTTGCAAACATCATGAAAAGTGAATTCGAGATGAGCTTAATTGGATCACTCAATTTCTTCCTTAGTCTTCAATTAAAGCAAACAAAAGATGGCAATTGTATCTATCAAGAAAAATATGCCAAAGAAATTGTGAAGAAATTCGGATGGTAAGGAAGTAAAAAGGTGGAAACACTAATGTCTTTTACCATCAAGCTGGATAATGATGAAAAAG